TTGTAATTTTCAAATCATATGTTTTTTTATGATTGTCTACTGTTGTACTGATAAATATCTCCTGGAGGATAAACTATATCTTGGCTGCAAGTATCAAGCTGCAAAATCGTTAGTTTTCTGCAACTGATAACAGTTGGTCATTAATTACGATGAAGTTTAGCAGCTTCTCTGTAAACATTCGAGCTCCGGGGCTTCAGCGGTGTCGTCTTCTTGTTCAATCCGAAGCAGGCAGTCTGATTTCGGTCAGCCGCGCTCAGTCTGTCCCTCCTCAGAGACGGGCAGATTGGACGCGGCTGGCCGGGGTCAAGTTGCCTGTTTCGGGCTAAGCAAGAGCAGCGCCCCGCTGAAGCCACGGAGCTCGAATGTCCAACGTAAAACTAACTTTACTGCGGTTTAATGTGGCGCTATGGCTTTGCAGACATTGCACGTTGCTGTCTTGTTTTGTGGTGTTTCTAGTGTAAAATACTTCCACACAGCGGACATGTTTAGATGAAAAGTTGGTTAGCTGTTAGCCACAGTGTTGCTAACTCAGTCCTCACGTTGTAGCTGGCTGCAAACTATGAACTGGATTTCCTGAATGTGAGGCGGGTCTTATTACTCTGGGTTCATGAGACACGCCTCCTTTCAGGAAATCCATTCCATAGTTTGAAGCCAACGTGCATCATGGATCGGAAATCTCTGCAGGTTGGATCGGAAAAATCCGCTACGTATATTATGCTGGTTTCGGAGGCCGATACCGGATCGGATCGGCTCCATCCCTAGTTGAAAGTCCAGCTGACCAGATCCATGTCAGTAATTTACGATTCAAAAGATGTGTAAATAGAAGCTCCGATACACAAGACAGAGAGCAAAAATATATAGTCTGGAAAATGTTTCAAGGTTTTGTATGGAAAGCATTTCAACAGAGATGAAAGGTTTCTTTTTACCATAGAGCAGGGCATGTTTACTATACCTCTGCTCCACATGGTCCTATCACATTACCTAATGATTAATAAATGACCGTTTGTGATAGATACACTCAGTGAACTCAGCCTGAAACTGAGAAGGACATGAAGTTCACTGGTCCAACAACCAGCTCCTCTCTTTCTATCTGAGCATCATCAGGAAAACATTTTATTGGACCTGTTAAAATGTCCGTTCAGGCCAGGTCCCATTCAGACCTGCAGACGGCTGGGAAGTCTTCAGTTGATGATAGCTTGCACAAATCCTTTTCTGTGAGCAGCAGCAGCATTAACAGAAGAGGTCATATAGGGTATGGGGTAACAGAAGAGATCAAAGTTCTCCCCAGGGCCCCCAGGCGGCCCGTACGGGCAGTCCAACCGGTCAGTGCTGTGACCTCAGGTGGCTCCTTTCTCCAAGTTAATCTCCTACAAGGAGAACTGGTCCGAAAGAGGAAGGTAAGACACAAACAGGCTGCAACAAACAAAAGTCATGATGATACTAAAACTAGAAAAAAAAAATTTATAACGTTTGGTTCAAATGATAACTTTTCAACATTTGTAGAGTTAAAAATAGTTTTAGTGCATAAAGTTTCTTGCAAAATGTACAAGGAATCTTGCCTTATTGTTGCCTTGTAAACGTTAAAAACACTCAGTAAGAACAAAAAAGGTTACATGTGTCATCTGGACCAGTTTCTTTAAGTGAGAAATGTTTCATCCCCCATCCTGAAGACTTCTTCAGTCTGCGGCCTGCCAACCAGATCTGTCCCATAGCTGCCAACCTCCTGTTGGAATCTGAGAAGCAGGCTTTTAACACATGCAGAGGCCATCCATCCAAAATTTTCCTTTTTTGTTGTTACCTGGATGATTGAGCTTACAAACCTTTTTTCTGAACCATTTTGGCGTTGGTTGTCCTCAGGCTGTTTCTGTGAGTAGCAAGTTGGTCATCTGACCTAAAACTTTGATTGTTGTACATAATGATTGAATGTTTTGGACAGATGGGCCCTGTTTGCATGTGTTAAAAGCCTGCCTCTGAAATTCCAACAGGAGGGTGGCTTAAAACACAGCAGTGAAGGCTTCTAATGGGACAGATCTGCTTGGCAAGCCATAGACCAGGGGTCTGCAAACTTTATGATCAAAAGAGCCATCTTGTGCCTTCGTTCACTAAACTAAATGTTCAGAGCTGCAACAACCTGCTGTGATTATCAACTGGTGGCCCGTGGGCCACTTTAGATTTGTTGGAGAAGGCTTTAGTGGCCATTAGGGGTGACAATATAAAGCTACAAAATATTTAATAATTAAGATTTTTACCATTTAAGACAAATGAAAATACCAGATTCTTATAAAGGGTGGGGGGATAGGTTTTTTTTAATTAATAAAAACTATGAATTATGCAGATCTATGTTTTTTTTTTTTTGATTGTCGAAAATGTAAGTATAGAAATAAAGCATAAAGTATGTTTTACTCCTTGTGCATGTTCCATCAAAAGAAATAACAGAAAAACTGCTAAAACTTTTTTTTTTTTTTTTTTTTTTGTCGTTTGTATAACAACCAATAAAATTCAGTTTGATGTTGGTTTTGGTCCAAGCTTGAAAGAGCCGCTGCAGAGAGACCAAAGAGCTGCATGTGGCTCCAGGTTTGCAGGTTGCAGACCACTGCCATAGACTGACGAAGTCCTCTGGATGGGAGAAGAAATGTTTTTCCCTTACAAAATTTGGTCCAGATGACATGATTTAACCTTTTTTTGTTGTTATCTACTTGGATGATTGAGCTTGCAAACCTTTTAAACGCTCATTAAGCTTTATCCATCATTTTAATCCTCCACATCTCACAGAATGTCACTGATAAGAAGTTTTAAAAGAGTTTTTATATAAGCTGTTGAAAGGCCATTCCTTTCCAAGCTCATCTAATCAGTCATTTGAAATATGTTTCAGTAAGAAGTGGCTGGAATGAGGCATGTACATTTGTATTTGTTTTTACATCACATAAAACTTTCACACTTTTTGCTCCATATCAGAAACCCATTGATCATGTTTGTTTCCCTCAGGAATGTGAGGACCTGAAGAAGGAAAACAAGTACTTAGCCAATGAGATCCACATGGAGCGGGTCATGATGCGCACAGAGAACGAGCTGACCATGAGAACCCTCAGGAACATGAACCAGGATCTGCAGATGCAAGTGAAAGAGGTACCCCTAACCACAGCACAGTGTATCATTTTAAACTGCAAACCCGTCAAGAGAAATAAATACTTGGTCTCGCTCTCTAAAAATATATTCTGTAAATATTTTCCCACGTGTGTGCTCTGAAGACAAATATAACATGTTATATATACACAATAAATATATATATATATATATATATATATATATATCATTGTGGTGATGGGAACTGTGCACTTTTTGTTTTAAAACTCTATGACAAAGTTTTGTCTCCTGGTGTCTAACCCCCTGGTTTTTTGCTTATGTCTTGCTTTCTTCCCATCCTCCGTTTTTGGTTTTATAGGGTTTGTGTTTCCTTATATATCTAGCTCCATTTTGTGTCGTGTTTGTCTTTTGCGTCCTCAGTCTCGGTCTTTGGCATCTGTGATTACTCACAGGTGTCTTCACTTGGTCTAATTGGTGTTTTCCTGTATTTAAGCCTATGTGTTTGTCTCACTCCTTGTCGTGGCATTGTCTTCTGTCCATTGATGATGGCATGTCTGTTCTGTAAGTACCTCCTGATCAATCCATGTTTATTTTAGTGATGGTGAGATGAAGCATCATGAAGCACTGAAGCTTTCCATTAAATATTTCGACTCATGATCCGATGCGCCATGGTGCTTCATTTGCTCTACTGCACCATCAAGTTGACTATAAACGTAAAACTGGTTTGGATTAT